TCTTTTTTTTTGGAGAATCTCTGAACAAATGAGACTGAATCCTCCGCTTGAACATGGAAAGATACATTTCCATATCTGTGGTAAACATTACCATTGAGGTTCTGACAGGTTGGACGCGCCGGGCTTCACTCGTGCAAAGAAATTCTTCCTTTACGTTTTTTTCTTTTTATTATTAAAAAAACAAATCCAGGAAAAACGGCTGTCAGTTCCGTCGTTGTCTACTTCAGAAGTAATACTAAGAGAACGTTTTGAGAGATCGCGACCCTCATCATGACTGAATCTGGCCTGCAAGAACCCTACCATACATGGTGCAATTACCGTTGAGGTTCTGACAGGTTGGATGTGCCGGGTGACACTCGTGCAAAGAAATTCTTGATTGTTTTCCATTCCAGGAAAAACGGCTGTCAGTTCCGTCGTTTTCTACTTCAGAAGTAATAAGAAGAGAACGTTTTGAGAAATCGCGACCCTCATCATGACTGAATCTGGCCTACAAGAACCCTACCATACAGACTGCAATGACCCTACCATACACACAGAGTGTTACCCGAACTATAGATTACTAAAAGCTTTGGCAGCTTGCGGGCCAACGCGCGGCCTCCAAAAAAAATCTGGCTGCCCGTTTCTTATTTTGCGCGAGCAGGGGGCCGGGACTACTACCGCCCCTCACAACTTTTTTTTTTTTTTTCTGGACCCCCATTTTTGGAGGTGCGCCGCATGCAGTGCGCGCGCGTCGTGCGGGATGCGCCGTGCGGCGCACGTGCGCAGTGCAGCGCATTGCGATGCGCCGCATGTATGGTTTGGATACATGACACACAATGGTTCCACTTGGGTCATCGGAAGACATTTGGTTTTGGATGAGCCAAGTGCACGTAGCCAGAAGCACGTGTGCGCAGAGCCGATTGCTATTTGGATGACCATAACGGATAATTCATCACCTTTGATTGCGTTTGGATTAACAGGATGAATAATAATATTAATGCATAATGCATAGTCGTTGATTGTTATGTTTATTGACAATGTGAACAGGGGTTGTTTTCAACGAGATGAAGGGGGTGTATTCTCAGCCGGACAGCATGTTAGCCCGGAAATCTCAGCAAGCGTTGTTTCCTGACAATACATATGGAGTTGACAGCGGAGGAGATCCTGCAGTCATTCCCTCTCTCACTTTCGAACAGTTTAAGGTAGGAGAAGATTGAATCTTCCTCCATCACATAATCAATCAATCAATCGATCGATCGATCATGACAATGACTAAATGAATAGATAAAACAATATCTTTCACAGCTGGTTACCAGGAGGTTTGCCCTTTGTCAGTTGGGTATGACGGCCGCAGGTCTCTTCCTCTGTCTGCCCCTGTTTTTAAGACCTTGTGGCGAAGGAAGTGGTGGTTCAATGTTAGATTGTGTGATTGTGTGATTGATGGATTGAGAGAGTGCGTGAGTACGTGGGTGCGTGAGTGAGTGTGTGCCTGCATGCGTGCGTGGGTGTGCGAGCAAGTGAGTGAGGCTAATTGTAAAATTGGTTGGCCCCAATTTTTTGAAACGTTGTTGTGGTTTAATTACTACTGGGGAAGGGCAGGGAGAAGATGATAGTCTGTCTGGATTGTTAAGTACCATCAGGGTAACAGTTGATTCCTGTCTCCCTACACCTGCATTGCGGGAGAAGTGCAACCGAACCAAAGGCCAAGGGTCCTGGATGTACTGCTGAATGGGCAAAGACCGGTTGTGATGTGATGTACGTATAGTGCTATGTTTTTTTTTTTTTGGGGGGGGGAGGTTTGGGAAATTGGGAGTATATTGTGTTTACTATTGTGCTTGGCTACTGCCTGGGATGTCCCCCCAAACCCGATTGTCCGTATATTCCGGATGGACTTCCAGCTGGCGACAGTCTTTTCCGGGCCAAGCGCAAAATTACCTGGGCCCCGGTTTATCATTTTGGGTGCTCAGGCGTATCGGGCAGGCCTTCCTCTAGCCACCAGGACCTTGGGATGGCGATTGCGAAGGCCAGAATTGAAAAAAAAAAAAGTGGGCCCCACCTGGGCCATTAGATCTTGAAGATCTATGGCTCAGATAGGGCGTGTTTTTTTTTTTTTTTTGAATTTCTGTGCCGTGCGTGGAACTTGCTCCCACGCACGCAATTTTGACTTCGACTTTCGAACGTATAGTGATGCAGCATTCCAGCGTCCATCCCCACCCCCTGACCAATTGATGCCATTGCCATCACCCAGGTAAGGTTCCCTTCAAGGTCTTCTTCCTCCTCTTCCTCCTCTTCCTCCTCCTCCTCCTCCTCCTCTTCATACACCTCATCTTCCTCTTCCCCCTCCTCTACTTTTATCTCCTGCTCCTCTTCACGTCGTTTGACTAAAACAACTCTGTATTACCTGGGGCCAGTCAGTTTTGAGGGGGTACAATGTGGGTCTATCAGGGGGTTTGAACTTTTGAGCTGGTGGCAGTTGACCATTCAGGATGTACTACAACGAAAACTGAAAATTTTGAAAAAAAAAGCAAAAAACAATGAAAACTGGAAAAGCTGAAAATTTATACACGACCCATGTAGTTGATTGATGCACACATTTAAGTGCCGGGAAACCAATCATGAGTTCAAATCCTGACAGAATCAGATGAATACACTAGAAAAAAGGAGCCCGAAATAGCACTGGGAAGCTGAATGGATTTTGTATAATTTTTGTTACATACGCCAGTCGAATTCGAATTTTGATGAGTTGTTCTAAAAACAATGTTTTAGAGATAGAGCCAGTGTCGAACTCACCCCAAGGTTCGCCAAGCTGAACCTGAAATTGACCTGGTCTTCTTTTAAAAAAGAAGAAGGGGGTGGAAATCATGGTTATGTTATGTACCCGATTGAACTTCAATCCACAATGAATTCACACGTTCCCATACACGCATGCAATTGCGGAGGAGACTCGAGGGAGGCAAATCCACACAAAACCGGAGAGAAGATATGCACAGCGGAAACTCAAAACACACAGAGAATTGAAAAACGAATTTCAATTCTGCAATCCCCCTAGTCGTCCTCCTCCAATCGATCCAGAGTACTTGTTCCAAGAATCACAACCGCGTTTACAACAACCCCGAACAACCAGAAACAAGTGTTCAACGAAGTATGCAGGAGTCTTCTTCTTCCTCTTAACCCCACAGCTGTCACAACGTGTCAATCTGAACCAGCAACCCCAATGATAACAGCGCCAGCTCAGCACCCGCACGGAAGTGCAGCGCTGGAAGTCCTGATGAAGAAGGAGACAACCGATGCAGCACTTCGAAGAAGACAAAGTTCCTCAATGGAGGAACAGCAGATATGGCTGCAAAGTGGAAGATGGCAGCACCCAAGCCCAACAACACAGTCCTGTGGAAGCTCTCATGCAGGGCTGCGAAATAGCAGCAGGCGATCTTCAACTTCCTTACCCAACCCCAGCTATGGCTGGGTTTCGGGGAAGAAGATGACCGCGCCCAAAATAGAGCAGCAGCGTTCCAACAACGGACAGGCAGGGTTTCCCCAGCCAACAAAACGTGAAAAGACCCAAATCAAATTTCCTGAGGAAAAGGCCGAATGGCCTAAGGCTACCAAACAGAGACTACTAGTGATAGACTCAGGGATCAAGTCCCATAGGGCTCAACACTCACAAACAAAACACAAATTACAGGTCACGGGATCAAGTCCCGCAGGCTCAAAACAAGAAAACAAACTACAAAGCCAAACACTTAGCGTACAGCCCCACTGGGAAACTGCGATTTATTGCAGTTATGCCGGACTCGGACACCGGACCAGTCCAGACGTCCGGTCGGACCTGTGTCTGGACTGCTCCAGACCGTCCGGATTGAAAAAAACACCCTTTTTTATTAAAAAAAATCGTTCCCCTCCCCCCCCTTGGATTTGGCTACAAATTCCGAGATGGTCCTGCAATGCTGCACCACATTTTTTTTTCCAGATTTTTTTGATTTTTTTAAAAGTCAGATTTGTCTTTGGGGTGGGGGTGGGGGGATGGATCCGGACAGTCAGGACCGGACATCCAGACCCAGACCGTCTGCACTGTGGTCGGGATGTCCGTATCGTAGCCATGGTGGAAATTGAAAATGATTATTTATGCACAACTGATTTCAACAGAATTTGAACGTTTAGTGAAAACTCTTGATCTCGTTTCAGAACGTCCACCTATGTACCAGTCAGCCACAGCAACAGCCACTGTATCTTCCAGAATGTCCACTGCTACTAAATGTTCTTTGTCCTTACGTTTCCCTCAATGTGTGATCACTGCAGGAGTTTCATGCGAAGTTCTATCATCCAAGCAATGCCCGCATTTGGTTCTATGGCGATGACGATCCGAAGAAGAGGCTGCTCATCTTGAATGGTAAGGCGAGCAAGTCCTTCCTCTTTCGTTATGCAATGAGACCTCCTTGCATCAGAACACTAGAACACAAGTCTCAAATCACATCGCACATACATGAGACACACACATGAGATACAAAGTCCAAAAATAGTCTCGGTAGCCAACACCGAACTTAGTTGGCTTCTTCGTCACCGGCAGCTATGGCCGTCCAACTCAACATGCAGGTAAGCCTCTCTCTCTCTCTCTCTCTCTCTCTCTCTCTCTCTCTCTCTCTCTCTCTCTCGGTAAGCCTCTCTCTCTCTCTCTCGCTCTCTTTCCCTCTCTCTCGCTCTCTCTAGGCTTCTCTCTCTCTCTCTCTCTCTCTCTCTCTCTCTCTCTCTCTCTCTCTCTCTCTCTCTCTCTCTCTCTCNTCTCTCTCTCTCTCTCTCTCTCTCTCTCTCTCTCTCTCTCTCTCTCTCTCTCTCTCTCTCTCTCTCTCTCTCTCTCTAGCCTCCTCTCTCTCACAGTCTTCACTCGTCTCTCTCTCTCTCTCTGTCTCTCATCATCCTACACCTATGGCTACCCAGCGCGGTTGACTACACTGCTCTAAGCTCGCTCTCACTTCCTCGCCGTCACTCCAACCTACCTAGGCATCTTTAATCATTGTACAAACGAAAGCTACTCTTCTTGATCATTCATGAATATTGTACATATGGTTTGGGCCTTCAATGGAAAACGTACTGGGACTCAGGACTGGGACTCGAGACTGGAACTTGAGACTGGGACTTGAGACTGGGACTTGAGACTGGGACTTGGGGCTGAACCGGAGTCCTGAGTCTTAGTCCTGATTGGAAGCGAGGATTGGAAGAAACACTTGGTGACACAAGCGAGGATTGGAAGAAATGGAAACAGATGCAAACTCAGACAGGGAGCAAGCAGAGCATGCATGGGTACTCAATTCAGAGAGAGTTTGAGATATTGATAGGTTTAGAAGATGGCTACCAAACAGGCCTATCTCAGTTGCTACACGCATGGGTAAGAGAGTTTGAGATTCTGATGGATTCCCCATGCAGGAAGAGCGTGCATGTGTACTCAATTCAGAGAGTTTTGAGATACCAATGGTTTTAGAAGATGGCTACCCAACAGGCCTAGCTCAACTGCTACACGCATGAACTGTTGAAATACGGACCTGAGTTCGAATCCCAATGGAACTAGATGAATGAAATCGAATAATTCTGAATACCAAGGCTGGCCACTTCGACTATGACACCTTGAGGCTGTCGCTCATTTCAGGGGGGGGGGGAAGGGATGGCCGCTTGTGGACCCGGAGACAGGACGCATCTGGACAACCACATTCAACTGGTTCATGTGGATCTGATCCGGACCAAGGGGGTGCCCCAAAGTTTTGGATTTGTTCAATTTTGTAATTTTGTTTTCAATTTTCAAATTGTTTTTCTTTCCCTCAATTTTGGTCGTGGATTTCGAAATGGCCCTCATCTAAGAGTTGCCCAGGAAAATGTAAATTATACAAATGCTCCGAATGGAACCAAAGGTCGATCCTTCCCGTGGCCAGGGCGTGCACAGGCTGGGCCAGGCATTGGACAGTCGAAAGCCTTGGAAGGGCTTTTCCCTGGACATCTGGAACCCTGGATGGCACGGACCACAGAAGACATCTGCAGCGAAGCGGCCTGGTAGCTAAATATTTTCGGTCTTTTTGTTCCCATCGCTCTTTCTTGTGTTTTGAAAAATCAAAAATTTCGGGGAATTAACCGAAAATATTTAGCTACCAGGCCGCTTGGCTGCAGACGTTTGTGGTCCGTGCTGTCCAGGGTTCCAGATGTCCAGTGAAAAGCCCTTCTGAAGCTTTCGACTGTCCAATGCCTTGCCCAGCCTGTGCACACCCTGGCCACGGAAAGGATCGACCTTTGGTTCCGTTTGGAGCACTTGTATAGTTTATATTTCCCTATGCTTCCGAACGCCCAGATAACTGACCACTGACTCTATGAACCATCTGGATGTTTGCTGGGTTGTTGGGATGGGAGACACTTGTTTGTGACCCACCCCCAAGATACGATGCAGAGTGAACAAGCAACTCGTCTTTCAGAACAAGTGTGAAAGCATAGCGAGCGGAAATGGGAACTTTGGGCCGAGCTGGCTGGGACAAAGACCCCAGAGGTTGGAGTGCCAAACGGTGTGGGCACTTGAACAAAGCTGAGGGACGGATACGTGAAACTGCTAATGCCAAGGAAGGGATTTGTTTGCCAAATGAATCCCAGGCCTGTAGCCGGAAGGAAAGTTGGAGCAATAAATTGTGAACTAACCGTCTTTGAAACAGTATCCAATCCCTTGTGACATAAGTTGTTTAAAGAGCAAATATTGTTTTAAATTAACGCGACCGAGTCGATGTGGATGTTTTGCAGAGTACCTGTCCAATTTCGAGGCGAATTCTGCAGCTCAGGAGTCAGAAGTTGGCATTCAGCGATTGTTTAGTGAACCAAAGAAGGTTGTGGAAAAGTACCCTGTAGGTGCTGAATCTGGGGATATCAAGAAAAAACACATGGTCAGTCTGAACTGGGTCCTGGCTGACAAAGACCTAGATCTGGAGACGGAGCTGGCTCTTGGGTTCCTTGATCATCTCCTTCTCGGCACTCCCGCTGCCCCTCTGAGGAAGGCATTGCTGGAAAGTGCACTAGGAGAGGCACTCGTTGGCGGGGGCTTGGAGGATGAGCTCAGGTGTGTATGTCTTCCTTCTGTCCTTATGTTTGTCCGTCTCTCTCTCTCTCTGTGCCTCTTTCTTCCAGCGACTCATTTCTCCTTGCTTGGGGTGAGAGGCTGTTGTTCTTAAACCTCTTTTGCTCCAAGGACCAGCTCCTGATGCCGGAGGCTTGGAAAATGAACTGGGTTGGTTGTGCCTTCTTCTTCGTCGTCGTCATCTTCATCTTCCTCTTCTTCCTGTTCTTCCTCTTCTTCTTCTTCTTCTTCTTCCTTCTTTCTTCTTCTTCTTCTTTCTTCTTCTTCTTCTTCTTCTTCTTCTTCTTCTTCTTGCTGCGACGCTTCGCTTTCCGTTTCTTTTCTTGTTCGTTCCTGTCTCCCCCACCTGCATTCTGGCATCTGTGGCCTGGTCGTTTCTCTGCAGGTCCCCTTTCACCGAGTTCCTTTTTTGCACAGGCACGGACTTCTTGTCTTTTTATTCCTGCCTTCTCCACCCTGTCTGATCCCCCCACCTGCATTCTGGCATCTGTGGCGTGGTCGTTTCACTGCAGGTCCCCTTTCACCGGGTTCCTTTTTTGCACAGGCACGAACTTCTTGTCTTTTTATTCCTGCCTTCTCCACCCTGTCTGATCAGGTTTTGTGGCCTGGCTTCTTTTCTTTCTATTTTTTGGCTGTTTGTTGTTCATTTGAGCAGGCAGCCACAATTTGCAATCGGACTGAAGGGAGTTGCGGAGGAGGATGTGGGGAAGGTCGAGGAACTGATCTTTTCTACCATAAAGAAACTTGCTGATGAAGGGTTTGATCCAGAAGCAGTTGAAGCTTCAATGAACACCATTGAATTTTCTTTACGAGAGAATAATACGGGCTCATTCCCGAGGGGGCTCTCGCTGATGCTGCGGTCTATGGTGAGTCCAGCAGATGTCTGTCCCCCAAGTCTGTTCCTCTTTCTTGTATATGTAGTTTTTATGGATTAAACAAATTCACGGATTGTCGGCAAATGGTTGACGTTTCCCGTGGTGTTAAGGCAATGTCACTGAACCGATCAGCGTAATTTGGTTGCCTTGATGGGCTTACTACATGAGCGCTCTCTGCGAACACAATACTTGAACTGTTGACAAGCGATTGCACTTCGCTCCCTACATGGACAGCATCGTTGCCAACGTCCCTCGGTGGGCTGGCTTCTGGTACCTACATAGGCAGAATCTTTGCAGACATATCCCTCTGTGAGCTGTGCAAGGAAAATGAGCGACAGCGAAATGACAGAATTCTGAATTGGAAAATAAAATTGAAAGCCAGAAAGTCGTAAGCTGTTCAGAAAGCAGAAATGCGCTGATGTCACACCAAAGGAGAACCGAAGCAGTGAACTAAGTTGTCAATGAAAGCCCTCTTTCGCCACCACCAACAATGTACCCGAAGCTCTTTTCCCTATCGGCGCTCAGCGCCCAGAGAACGATCTTACAGCGACTATACTAGCCTACACGAATCACAAAGCAACCAGTTGACCTCAGCAGCAGCAACTGAAGTACATGCAGCTGTCGACCATGCAGACCTCCGCCAGGACCAGGTATGTGCTCTCACATCTTTCCCCTCACTCGCCCTCTCAATGCTCACCCTCGTCTTCACCCACTTCTTCTCCTACACTTCTGAAGACCACCGCCACTCCCACTGGCGGCTGAGCTATGGCGTTGCTTCCACGCAGCGCCCACCACCTGACGACCGTGCTCGCCTGACACTTCCACTAGCGGCCTCTGAGCGCTCAAGCCAGCAGCACTGCCACACAAAAGGCAAGTGCCTGAATGCTTCCCTCGTGGCCTGGCCCTTTCCTGTATGGAAATCGGCCTGGCCTGTTGGCTGCTCGACTGGGAGGCCCATGTGTTAGTAGCTTCAAGTTGGGCCAAAGTGTCTGCGCCCAGGCCCGTTCAGACTGTGGCCTGGGCCTGCAGCAGTTAGGCACACCTGACCACCCAGCGCCCAGTGAGGTGTTCCCTGCTTTCTGATAGGCCGAGAGGCCAGTTTTTAAGTCAAGAACAGAAGAGCCTAGAAGGCTCACGGAAGATTCTGATGCTTGCGAGCAGGGCACATGTAACGTGGTAACTGTCTGGTGCCGACTAGGGCTGGCAAATTTTGCAATAGTCAGGCGTCTTTGAGATACAGGGCCCGCCTTCACTTAGGGCGGGGACAAGGCTTTGTAGGGACCCAGATATGAGTCTGCTGCGGACTCAGATCCTTGCAGCTATCAACGAAACATTGCGTTCCTTACATGGGAGGCCTCTTTGCAAAGATGCCCTGCTGTTGGCTGGCAACAAATCATTGTGTTTCCGACATTAAACCACCAGTACTTTTGACCCTCCCCTTGCCGAGCCTGGAAATGCACTGCGCACCAAAACAGAGCGAACCGGCGCCGGGCCTTCTTTTGGCTGCCGCTGCCAGCCATTTCGCTCCGGTAGTGCGTGCACGGGCCAATGGCCGGGAATCGTATTGGTGGTTTAACAGTCTCTTTGCTAACATACCCCTCTTTGAGGTGGCAACAAACCGTTTTGGTCCTTACATCGGCAGCCCCTTTGCTAACGTAGCCGTCAAGGATTGGCAACAACAACAAACCATTAAGCTGGCTAGAGGGGACGACAACAAAGCATTACTAACATAACCCTTCACTGTACAGACAAGAGCAAAACACTGCAAGCAAACAACACAACAGGTGGCTGAAGAATGCCCATTTGAAGATGGGAGTCCTTTGTGGGGCTCGGCAGGGTGATAAGGCTGTCTTTCAGCGGTTCTTTGTGCCTCCTTACTCTTCTGAGTCTTCTCTTGATTATCTTAGCAGGAACCTCGCTAACCGGAGGTGTATTGTTCCAGTGTTAACGAATGTCCCGAAGGATGTGTAGCCAGAGTATTGATTTCCTGTCCTTCCCCATGGACCTAGATGACTAGATAATGACCACAGCGCCCCCATGTGAAAGGCCTTCCACGTTTCAGATCCCAAATTCGGATCTCAGGGTCAGATGCCCTGGTCAAGAAAAGGTCGAGTTCATCAAACTCAGAAATGTCACAGTCGGGTACCTCAACAGTCTGATCCAACAGGCACCCAGCAAACAGTCACATCTCAGGGACAAGAGTCACGTCTCATAATAAAAAGCCATTTTGAGGAGTCACATCCCACGAGAGAAAAGGCAGATTCACAAGCAAGAGTCATGTCTCAAAGGCAGGAGTCACGTTTCATAATGAAAAGTCACACTGAAGAGTCACATCCCACGAGTAAAAGGGCAGTTCCACAGGCAAAAGTCGTGACCCACAGGCAGGAGTCACTGTCCACAGTCAAAAGTCGTGTTCACAAGTGAAAAGTCATGACTCAAAGGCCCACGCAGCAGCAGTCCAATGGAAATTCGGGAAGGTTCCAGGCCTTGACATTCAGAAGCAGACAGGCCGTGGGGATGTGGTACCAGAACCAGTCAGGACCCAAGAAACAGAGGCTGGCACGAGTTGAAGTGCAAACCAAGACTACCAAAGGACTGGCCAGCCTCACATTCGGGCAGATTGCTCATTCGCAAGAAGTGTGGAAGTGCTGGTGCACTTGTGCGCTGAAGTGAGGAGCTGAAGTGAGGAGCAGAGCGCTGAAGCCACTATGTGAGGGAGAGAGAGGCAGATAGCGCTGGCAGGGAGAAGGCAGCCATAGCTGCACCAGTGCAGAAGTGTTAGCGCTAGCTGTTAGAAGTAGACTCCAGAGGGGTTAGTAGAGTTGACAGTGGGTGTATTCAGAGTAGATCCTTGAATAGACTTAGTGAGTGTCCACGCATGTAGGGAGAGAAGACACAGCGAGGACATAGCTAGGGAGAAGACCAGTGAGGATAAGAGATTCTTAAGAGAGAAGAGCAGTGAGAGGAGATACTTAACTGGAAGCTTATGCCGGTTACTGGTTACCTTTTGTATGCGCTGTTGAGCTCTGGTGACTTGAACTCTTATTGCTCTTGTAATTACTTGCTGGAATTCTGAGCTGCGCTACCTGGTCTTCATCTCTCTGGTTTTCAGTGTGCGTCTTGTGATCTCATACATGCATGTGGTGTGATGGTGTGCGCTCAATGATGTTGAACTAAGAGGTTCACTGCACATGGACCTAGATGACTAAGAGAAAGCTAGGGACAAGGCTACCTTCTTCCCTCGAATAACAACGTACAGTCATTTCTGCTGCATCTGGACTAAAAAGTGAGCCAAGTACGGCTATAATGACCGTACGTTCTATTCAGGGGAAGACAGTAGAAGCAAAACCCAAACCGAGGAAAAGAAAAAGAGTAGACATGAAAAGAATCAGAAAACAGAGGAAGTAGAGTTGCAATAAACTCAGTTCAGATCCACATTGCTGTGGGCATGGGTCATAACTTTTGGTCAAAAGGGACCAGAAACAGGGGTCAAAGGTCAGGTCCCAAGTCTGAGAAATGTCTAGGAAAGGGCCTAAGGTCAAGGGCTATCAGGGGATGGGTCAAAAACAGCGTCCAGTGCTGCCACGTGAGGTAGTTGACTCTTGGAAAATCAAGAGTCAGACCAAGCACGGGAAAAGCAGGCCCAAAGTCGAAGTCAATCCAGTAGTCAGCCCCAGCCATAGACCAGATGCGCATCAATGGTTGTCTGCAAGTATCTGGAAGATTCCAGTCCCGACTGGGAAAAGGGTATCGCTGCTTCAAGGCTGCATTCAGACCGGGCAAACCTGAAGCGTCGACACCGTCAAACGTAGACTGGTCCATGCCAATCAACAATGGTCAACGCTACAAAAGGACAGTCAGAGACCAGGGAAGACATTCTGCCTTGTGCTGGCTTGATGCTAGTGCTGTATTGCGAGGCTGCTGAACTGGGATGCTGGCGCCAGATGTTGCTGGGGGCGCCAGGCTGGAGGGAGACTACGTTAGTCCGGCCATAGCCGCATATATGTAGACTAGGTATTGAGGAGTGGTGGTGAGGAGGATCAGGGCTGTGAGACTGACAGGAGGTGAAGGGAAGCTTACCTGAACTTACCTGGTGACAACACGTGTGATCTGCTGCTGGTCTCCACGAACGTGAGGAAGTGCTGCGCCATCCTCCATATTTTATTGCTGACGTGGAGGGATGATGGACGCCCTGCTATGATCTGCACAGTAATTATCGTAGAGGACGTCAGATGGAACATGCATTGCTTAGATGACGATAGGGGAGAAGCCCGAAACCCTCTCTTTCTCTCCGCTCATGCTCGTCTTTGATGGGACGATGCTCTTGAATTGTGCAAATGATCGAGACATGGACTCGTAATTGCTTTTGGAGACTTCATGAGGTGCGCTGGGTTCAGACTTCTATTTCATTGCTGACTGGCTTCTGAACGAGACTGGGTTCACTACAGAGTAGCCCAGAAGAAAATAACCGGAAGAAGGCGCCTCTTCAAGCAATAGAAGGAACAGGATGAGACAGGGGCACTAATCCTAGAAACTGAGATAGATCTAAAACCCTGATACAGTAGAGTTTAGGATCAAGCAGACACACACGCAGGACCATAGCTCATGGAGTTTCGGATGTTTAGAAACTAAAAGATTAGATGAAGCACGGGACAGTTTGAAGGAAACCAGACTCAGGAAGGACTCAAGGGGGCAGAGCAGAAGGAAGGACTGAAAGCCGAAAACACAGGCAGGGCTCTGACTATTACAGACCGAGTAACCAGGGTACATAAGAACAGGCAACCGAGAACGAGTCAATAGCCCACAGGGACCAAGAGGATTGGAAGAAAGGTGAGGACACTGTACCCCCCTTTTTGGCTCCTTTTGGGTGGGAGGGCCGGGCATCTAAAAAGAGGAAGATTGTAGTTAGATAAGATGTCCTCAGAGCCCAGGGTCCCAGGGCCAGGGTCCCGGGATCTAAGGGTTAGGGAAAGACAGTGAAAGACATCCAGGGTTTTGAGGGTATAGACAAAACTAGTAAAAGGGAGGCCAGCTAGCGGAGCCAGCTGTACACACAAATTTGACAGCCACGTAGCTGAGAGGTACAAGCTAGGAATGGCCGCCACTCGTAGACCACAGTTAAATTTAAGATAGGAAAATGTAGAATTGCAGCATCCCCTGACGATAGTATTTCAATTAGGCTAACTTAGGCAGGGGTGAAGGGTGGTACATACTTCCTGTGGGAAGTAATCAATGCCGTACTTCGGGCCGGTGGAATTGGAACTGCACTTACTCTCCCCAGAATGGAAAAGGATCCAGAACCATAAGGTTCTGTTGTCCTTTCTTATAAGGAAAAAGAAAAGAAAAAAGTGGTTGGTAGCTTGCATCTAATCTGGTGTCTTAACTTTTAACTTCAAAACAAGAACCTACCTTTTGGATCCTGCAGTGTGCACATCATGTCACCAACTAACCAAAAGCTCAGTTGGTTCACCCATTGGGTGTTGAAATACAGACCCGAGTTTGAATTCCAGCAGAACCAGGTGAGTGAGAATAACCTTGGGGCCGGTTGGCTCAAAGATGACATCTCAAGGCCGTCACCCTGTTTTTTTTTTTTTTTTTGTTGAAATATAGACATCATGTGATTCCGCTTTGCTGCACAAAAGATTGGTAGATGCAGAACGACGAGCATGATGTGTGGGCACGTATCGCTGGACCGTGGGGGATAGCTTGACGTCATTAGGCTTGTTGTGGTTAGGAGAAGGGCCTTATGATAGCCGTTTCTGTTCTTTGGTGTCATGGCATTTGTGGCATTTGTGGCATTTTTGGCATTTGTGGTCATGGCAGTGCTTACAAAGACAATGGTCCTCTTGAGTACACTGTTCTGTCCTAAGCCTCCCCTCCTCCCTCCCCTGTTTCTCGACATTGCTCCCGTTTTGACAGTGACGTGGTGACAAATCAGCTTGCTGGCAGTAATTTGTGATTCTGACATTTGTGTCATTTGTAATCGTGGCAGGGCAAGTGGCTCTATGGCAAGGATCCTTTTGAGCCATTGAGATTTGAAAAGCCTTTGGAGTCGTTCAAGGCACGTTTGGCGGCGGAGGGTGGAAAAGGTGTTTTTAGCCCGCTGCTGGAGAAATATTTGCTTGCTAATCCGCACAGGGTTACCATACTCCTGGAGGTGAGTCTAAAGAATAAATGTGCTTCTTAGCAAGCTGAATGTACAGAGGTAGCTTAATGGCTGTGTGCTTCTTAGCACGCTGAATGTACAGAGGAAGTTTACGGGGCTTCTTCTTCCTTTGTTGCTTGCAGTGTTTCAATAGAGTTTGTTGCCGGATTTAGGGGCAGGAACCACTGGTGCTATGCTTTTGCAGGGCTGGCGATGGATGGACCTGGGATTGATGTGTCCTGCTTAATTTATAAAACTCACAAACACCCGGAATCGGACAAACATTTGCCACTCATATACATGAAAGGACTGGCAGTGTCATACAAGCTCTATCCATCGTCTGATGTTGTGAAGGTGTGAACATTTTTCTCCAGTTTCCTACCCCACTCTACACTGCGCCCCTCTCCGTCTTTTTCTTCCACCTGGAGCAGACTGGTACTCTCAGAAGTCATGTGTGTTCCTTGTTTGAATATGTGTCCCATGCATGTGTTTTGTAAATATGCATCAATGCACACAAGCGTGAGTGCCCATATTGCAGATGGGTGTGTGGGCCCTTCCTACTCGACCACACAAATGTGGGCAACCTTGTGGCTGTTGCAAAAACTGGATGATGACAAATATGAAACAAACAGGTACTGCAAAAAGTGGAAATGGTTTTACTCTGAACTCTGTGTGTGTGTGTGTGTGTTTCAGAGAGAGAGAGAGAGAGAGAGAGAGAGAGAGAGAGAGAGAGAGAGAGAGAGAGAGAGTGGCAGCTGCTAATCTCTGTGGGATCTTCAGTGGAAGCACAGAAAGAATTGTCTGTGTAGAGGCAGGAGAAAGAAAGATAAAGCTGGAAAATGTACTGGCCATATTTATTGAAACCCTACAGGAAAATAAGAGAATGGAATGAGACAGATTAAGGATTTTTGTCCATTCTACGGAGTCTGTGAGTATTCGTTCGCACTTGCTTGACTGTCACAGGCTTCCCTTTTAAGGAAAAGGATGGCGTCTCAGTGTACCTTGCACTCTCCACTGATTTGATGGATGGGTGAACTGTTCTTTGCCAACAGAATCATTTGTGTTTATCCTTTGAATGGACTTGTCTTCAAAAGCCTGCTTTTTCTAATCCCCACATGCTTGACGTGCTTTTGCAGCCTGATGTTGAGCTTGCTTCAAAGGATGAAGAGAGAGAAAAAGAAACACTGAAACAGGCTAAAAGTGTCTTGACGGAGGAGGATATCAACAAACTCGTCGAAGCAACCAAATCTCTTAAGCAGAGGCAAGAAACACCTGATCCTCCAGAGGCATTGGCAGTTGTGCCCTGCTTGAAGTTGTCAGACATTCCAAAGGAAGCCACTAAGATTCCAATTGCGGTAAGATCCCAATTTGCGTCGATTGTTGTTAGTTTCTGCTTTGGCTCTCTCATTTTCATGTCTGTACAACTTCACTTGTGTGTGTGTGTGTGTGTGTGTGTGTGTGTGTGTGTGTGTGCGCGCGTGTGTGTGTGTGTGTGTGTGTGTGTGTGAGAGAGAGAGAGAGAGAGAGAGAGAGAGAGAGAGAGAGAGAGAGAGAGAGAGAGAGAGAGAATGCAGTCCAAGGCCCACTTTACGGACCACCACGCAATACGTTTTGTTGTTGTCATAAGCACTCATGCTGAACGAGTTTATTTGTACTCTGCCTATCTTATCCTCTGGTTTGCAGACACAAAGGTTCTCTGTGGAATCCAATCAAAAGCCACAGGTCACTGACCGCATAGCAGATTGTCACTTTGATAGTGTTTCTGGAAAAGAGTGGGGGATTTGAATGGGCTGAGCAAAGGGGGAAAAGTAGGTAATAGCTGCCAGATTGCTGTGAAAGGGTTATCAATTTTCAGCTTCGTTGTGAATCGAGACAAGGTGGGTGCCTTTATCCTCCTCCTCGCCATACTTGAGGATGACACGACTTGACACAACCTCACACGACGACACAACTTCATAAAACTTCATACAACTTCACAAAAATTAACACAGTTCATAACTCCACACAACAGCACTTCACACAACTTCACACAGCTTCACAAAATTTTCACACAACTCCACACAACTTCACACAACTTCACACAACTTCACACAACTTCACACAACTTCGCACAACTTCATGCAACAAACTCACACATCTTCACAGCAGTTACGTGACTCCACTTAACACAACAAGATAACTTGAGGCCACAGATTCACACATGTTCACAGAACTTCGTACCAGTTTCCACGATGACTTAACATCAGTTTGCATGACTGCATTCTGCAATCGGACTCGCTCTCATACGCACTTCACATGTATGTAAACAGGTTGCACAGCAAACTGGCGACGAGCGCCCACTCAAAACTCAGAGATATGGCAAACAAGAACACTGTTCAGATACAACTCGCTTCAACTGGCTATGGCGACACAGCGCCCACACATCTCTCTGTTCGCACACATGATCACCCTGGATATCCCACACGCATACTCTGCACTCTCACACACTGAACTCCATCTACAGCTATGGCGGCTATGGACGCTACTACCCTATCGCTATGGCCAAGCTTCTTCTCTCTCGCCCACTTCGTCTTCGGGGTCACTGCAGACCACCTCGCACAAGTCGCTGTGGTAGCGCTTCCGCATGGCTCACGCAGGAATGAATGAATGGCTGTGCGCTGCCCTTTGATTTATACTTCTGTGGCTCGTTGGTCTGGTCCTTTCCCATGCCCGTAGTGCACACAGTCCCATGCGGTATTTGCTTGACTAAACTAGGACTGACTGGGACTGGGACTGCTGACTCAGCACAGGTAGACTCCACCGCTTGCCCACTTGCCTCAGCCTAAACGTGGGCAACTTCGAAAGGCCACTGCTAGGTCCTTCCGGAAGGCCGTGGACTTGGCCTTTCGCTACTGTAGCAGCTACGACCTTGACCTTTCAGGACTGTAGCAGCTACGACCTTGACTCTTCGGAAGCTCTACAGCTACGACTTCTAGGACTCCCTCAGACTTCTACTCGGCAGGTCTACAGATCGAACCCCTGCTACCTGTGGACACAACGACAGTCTACCAACTGTTACAAATACACAGGTCACGGGTTCAACTCTCGGGGTCGAAACAGATACTGTACACAGGTAAGGTGAGGACTAGGGATTGAGCCCTGGGATCTGCACTCGCTACTTCTGACAGGTGAGAACCGTTTCAATTCAACGCGATTTTGCAGAACTTCACAGAGCTTCACACAACTTCACACAAATTCACACAATTTCGCACAACTTCAGACCATTTCACACAGCTTTGCACAGCGTCACACGATTGCCCACAACTTCACACAAGTTTCACTTCTCACAACTTTGCAGCCTTTGCCATTGGCTAGGCTGGCAGTCCAGTTGGCCTTCCACTTATTTGTAATCATCATTTTCCATTATTGCCTTTCTGACTTCCCCGCCTGTCTGACCAAGTTTCTCTTCTTGTTGTTGATTCCGCTCGGGAATTTGCATCTCTTTCATCTCGTTTGTCTCTATGTTTGGATTCTCTGCTGATGTGTGGTGATTCTTTTTCTGTCTATTTGTGTATACGTGTGCTCATTCACACTTTGCAGAATGTTGTTGAATTGCTGAATTGCTCTCTTCACGACAACCACATACAAACTGGTGGGGAGAAGTTCACCCTGGTCGAGTGACCGTGTTCTGCAACTCTGTAACTTACTTCAGCGTTAATTTTGTCCTTGTCCCTCCTTTATGCTGATTAATGATGAGCACTTGGTGATTGATTTACCTACCTATGCTCCCTTCACTGTTACAGGCTTATCTGGTCGATTGTGCTGAGGGGTTTACAACTTTACATCTTGTCCATCTCCTTTGTCTCTATGTTTGGATTCTCCGCTTCTGTGTGGTCATTCATCTTTGTCTAGTTGCATTTATGTGTGTTCATTTGCACTTTGCAGAGTATTGTTGCATTGCTGAATCTCTCTCTCTCTCTCTCTCTCTCTCTCTCTCTCTCTCTCTCTCTCTCTCTTTGTGTGTTTCTTTTGACCAGTTGCTCTTACTCCTTACCTAGGATCAGAGTCCAAAGGGTTTTGAACTGATTAAGCTTTGCCTATTGGACTGCTAGCTCAGCCGAATTGATTGTAATGATGTAATCACAGTCCTTGTGGGTATGGGGCAGTGATAATTTTTCT